TTTTTTGAGGGAGAAAGGTGCATCTTATACACCGAAAAATACATTAGTCATTTTTAATAAAAAGGATGAATTAATTCTTATTTTCACTCTTCTGGAGAGGTTAGGGTAAATGGAATATGCATGTTGCTAGGCATATTCACTCAGTTTTTTGAATCAGTATCATCCTTTTTATTAAAAATGACTAATGTATTTTTCGGTGTATAAGATGCACCAAGATTTTGAAGAGGAAAATTTAAAAAAAAAAAAAGTTTTTGCACTCTGCAGACCTCCCAAAAATGGCCTGTTTTTTTGCAAAAACGTGCCTGTTTTTTTTTTCTTTCAAAAAACGGGCATGAATAGCCTTTAGGAGGCTTGTAGAGTGTTCCTAGCCCCCCCCACCCCAAAATGGGCAAAAAACAGTCTCTTTTTCGCAAAAATCTGGGTGTCTTATACACTGAATACAGCAATTTTTTTTGCCTCCACAAACCCCGTCCCCTTCACCAAAATGGAAGGCTTATAGAGTGCTCCTGGGGGCTGAGGGGCAAAAGTGAGCAAAAAACAGCCCATTTTTCCTCATTTCTGCCCTCCCTAGCCCCCAGGAGCACTCTGAAAGCCTCCTAAAAGCTATGCGCCACCATTTTGGTGAAGGGGCAGGGTTTCAGAAGGCAAAAAATGCTGCATTCAGTGTATAAGATGCACCCAGATTTTCAGCCTCTTTTGAGGGAAAAAGGTGTGTCGTATACTCTGAAAAATATGGTAAATGGCCATTGCTAACAGATGGGATTATTAATTAATTTAATTATCTTCTCCAACAAATTTAGAAAAATGTTTGCTTAGTATATTTGAAGGCTATAGTATAGCTTGTAACTAATTCTTGATAAAATTTCAGAATCAGTTTAATAGTTACATCATGCACACTTCAAAGCTGATTCATCAAGTTCATATCCCAAGTCATTTTCTCACATTTTAAAGAAGTTAAAGAGAATCTGTTGCATTCAATGTAAGAAGTAAGAGTAATACAAATTGTCTTTGATTTTAAGTGACATGATACGTACTATTTTTACAACACTCCTCATGTTTTCTAATTGGAGTAGACTCATGAGCTGAAGAAGAAAGGACTGATCTTATCTCATTTAAAATATTTGGAATTTCAGTGATACCATTCAGCAAACTATAATCAGCAGAAGCCAATAGCCAAAACTTGTATCCTATAAAGTCTTCTATTGCTTCATTCCTTGAACATTTTGTATTTATCCAGTGGAGGAAATAATAGGAATACATATTTTTTGGCCCTTGGAAAAGCTTCCTTTAAGTGTTCTGCTAGGACTTTCCATGAGTCTGAAAGTCTGGAAAAGGGTATCATTTGAAGGTGCCCTTCCCCAATTTTTTTCCTGAGCACAATGATGACATTTTTTCTCAGAATATATATAT